CGAGTAACATTAAACCGCGTGAATCGTGAAAAACTACTGCGGCATGACAGAATTCTCGATTCATAACTACCTGCCGCGAATTGTATACTTTCTAATTGGTACTCCGCGATAGCACGTGGTACTCCTACCGAGAAAGGTACAGTACTTGTTGCATGTTTGGGGTTATTCAACCCCTAGTTTGTACTAAATCCGATTTGTTCACTAAACGATTGTGACAAAGTAAATATTTTCAAAAAAGCTAGAAATGCTTCGTTTCTACGTCACGGGAATATGTACGTAATAACCTAAAATCATTTTTTTACAAATATGTATGTAGTAGAATATTTTTTTGCTAAAATATATATTCTACATAAGTGGCAGTGAGGATTGCTGAGAATTAAAGTGTAATATTTTGTATAATAAAGCGGGGGGACCTATGTCATTTCTTAGAATATAATTTCTGAATTCACACAATGCGAAAAAAATAAAAATTTGGGGTTGCCGACCCTGAGACCTCGAAAAAGTTTGCACTTATATGCAATATATATAATTTTTCATAACCAACATACAAGCAGACTTTTTTAAATATTTTTCACAAAATTAAATTTTCTTTGTAGTTATGCCAATTTAATTTCGATTTGGTATAGGTAAGCATTTTATTTTTCAAATTTCATAAAGCCGTAACATTACAAAAAATTACAATTTTGAGAAAAAACGGATGTTTGCATTAACTAATTCATAAAAAATACAGGGTGGGCCATTAGTGTGAGAAAGTAAAATAACTCCCTTGTTATTCATAATACAGAAAAAAAGTTTAGAAAACCTAAAAGACAAAATTAATTTGAAACACACAGGGCGATAAGTAAAAATGGGGCACGCAAATATTACATTTTTAAATGGAGTGCCCTGTATATTTTTAAACATGGACTCCTGAGAAAATTCTGTATGTGACAATATAAACAGTTTAACATTTTAGTGCGGGTAAAACATGACCTCGAAGAAGTTGTATTAACTTTCAACTATTAACACTTGGAGAAAAAATATTTCACAGAGTTATAGGCAAATGTTAGACAAATACTCCTACATTAGCTAATATCGATATTTTATACAGGGCAATTTTTGTAATAGGTTCATTTTAAGAAAGTTCAAACTTCATTTTCTAAAATGTTTCAAATGGAACAAACACCCTGTATTTTATTGTTCTATTTTATTCACATACCAGTCCACTTCAACTTTTATTAAGTATAGTCTACACCTAAAGTTAGTTTTTAAGATATAGCAACATTTCTGGAAAAAACTAATTTTTATTATTTTGGGTAGCACGAAACAGCTTTGAAAAAAACTGTTACATTGGGTCACTTGTTAGTTTATAATTTGTCATTCCATTTTGAGTTAATTTTATTACTTAATATTTATTTGTGGTTTTCTATCAAATAATAAAAATTTAAGTTTTTTCAATGTTGTTATATCTTAAAAACTAACAATTTTAGATATAGAACATGCTTAATAAAAGTTGAAGTGGACCGATATGTGAATAAAACAGAACAATAAAATACAGGGTGTTACATTTGAAAAATTTTAGAAAATCAATTTTAAACTTTCTAAAAATTATCGTATTATAAAAAATGTCCTGTATAAAATATCAATATTAGCTAATATAGGAGCCTTTGTCTTAACATTTGCCTGTAACTCTGTCTAATTATTTTGTTCCAAGTGTTAGTAGCTGAAAGTTAATACAACTTCCTTCGAGGTCATGTTTTTTCAAAAATTTTGAAGAATTTTGTACATAACTTGGCACGCACTAAAATGATAAACTGTTCATATTGCCATATATAGAATTTTCTCGGATATCCATATGTTTAAAAAGAAACAGGGTGTTCCATTTAAAAGATATAATATTGGCGTGTCCCGTTTTTACTCATCGCCTTGTATGTATCAAATTAATTTTGTAGATTAGATTTTTTGATTCTGTATAATTTTTATATAAACTTTTTTTCTGTATTATTATAATTTTCTACACAACTTGGCAACCTCGCACTAAAATGTTAAACTGTTTATATTGCCATATACAAACTTTTTTTCAGAAATCCATATGTTTAAAAAAATACAGGGTGGTCTATTTAAAAAATGTAATATTTCGCGTGTCCCGTTTTTACTCATTGCCCTGTGTTTCAAATTAATTTTGTCCTTTAGGTTTTCTGATTCTGTACAACTTTTATATAAACTTTTTTCAGTGTTACTTACAAGAGAGTTATATTACTTTCTCACACAAATGGCCCTACCTGTATATATTTTGCGAATATATGTGCAAATTTTTTCGAGATCTCAGGTTCGACAACCCCTAATTATATATGCTTTATTATAAACAATACCACCTTAATTTTCACCAACTGCCATTGGTTAGTTAGGAAGAAATTATTAATGCAAAATTGTACTAAATTTAGATAATTAAAAAATTGTAAAATTCAGGTTTTGTAGGAACTCACTTGTATTATTGTATTGTACATATAAAAATGTTTATATGACTTAGATACTACATAAATTTAGGTTAGATTAGTTCTTTTATACGTATTAATATACAGGATGTTTATTAAGTAGGTACTTGTACAAACTTTAAAGGGTGAATCTTCGAATAATTTTAAGATAAAAACTTCATATGAACATGGGTTTGCAACGGCTTGGTTCTTGAGACATAGAGCACCCAAAAAATTTTTTAGTTTGGTATTTTGATTATGTTTTTGTTCAATATAACATGGCAATTTGACGAAATTCGGGAAACTGGGAGTATGATGGGAAACTAAAATATTTACTTAGTTTTTTTGTGTAATGTCAGAGGGCGCCACATACAGTGTTGTACCTAGATATAAATAACCATAACTTTTTATGTCGCACTGTATGTCATTTTTGACTAAACATACCTATTTTCGATTCAAATTTTCGTACAAAAGGTACACTTAGTATTTGTCGCTGAAAGCAGCCCTTTTTTTTGGACGCTCTGTATCTCAAGAACCAAGCCATTGCAGACCCATGTTCATATGAACTTTCTATCTTAAAATTAGTCAAATATTCACCCTTTAAAGTTTGTACAAATACTTAATAAACACCCTGTATAGCTGGTTTATACTGACAATTTGTAATTATTAAATTTAGGAAGTTCTTAATTCTCCACAGGAGGTTTGGTTTTACACTTCACTGTTCTAAATTTGGTGGATTTCTTTGAAACCAGTAAACTGATCAATAATTCATATTTCAGAAGAATACCACAATCGAGGTTCAAAAGAAAAAGCACCTAATCATATAAATAATACTTTGTGATAATGGATAATAGAAAACGACTAAGTACCTAACCCTCATATACACGATGTCCAAAAAAGGCCCAAACCGCCTTGATATCTTTTCAAGATATTAAATATCAAAAAAGTTTCAGATAAAAATTGTAGAATATGCCGATGACCTGTCATTTGACCTTGGCCATAAGTGTCAAGGTCAAGTCAAGGTCAACTTGAAATATTAAATGGAATAAGTACCCGATTCCCTTTATAACTTAAGCTGTGCTATATACAACTATTATTATGAAAAACATACCTTATTACAAGAAAATCCTGTAAAATAATATTGCTTTTAGGCGAAGTGGTTGAAATTTAAATTGGGCCACAAAATATATACAGGTTGTTGGAATTTCTGAATTTTCTGAAGAAAATTAGAATACTCTATGTTATTCATGAAAGACATCATGAATACTTTCGTGAAGTTATTTGGACTTGAACATCTTGAATTTAATAAAGGACCCAGACGAATTTAAATAATGTTTAATGTTTTTTATCATGCGCATTGTTGTATATCTTCAAATCAAAATATAATCAGAATTAACTACAAAATTGTTAAAAAATTAGAGTAGGTACCTAGATTACACAACAATTAACTCAAGGTCAAAAAATGTATCAATTCCTCTGACTACGTACATATGTAAAATTGCCACAAAACAGCTAGAAAGAAACAATCGCAGAAATCTATTTACGGTACTATAATTAACATATTAAAATCATTCCAATTTGCTTATGGACTATTTCAAGGTTTCTGTTTAAGAACTGTGTTAGTTTCTTGTAATGTAAGAACATCCCTGCAAACACAAATTATTGACTGTCAGCGTTGAGTGAGAAAGAGAAAAAGTATTTCTCACTCAACGCTGCTAATGATTGTCGAGGATTAAGTGGAACATTTTGTATAGTTTTTTTGTCAACAAAATTGGTGTTGCAATCTATCTAACATACCTATTTTCCATTTAAAAACACACAAAAATACCTACTGTTTTTAAAAGTATTTTTCATATAAAATTGTGAAAAGGTTTACCCAAATATTAAATAAAAATCTAGTGCCGTTCCCTGTGCGTTAATGAAGAAAATCTCTAGTAGTTTTATTTTTCCCTCTAAAAGTATATTTAATGTTTTTGGTCACCCTGTTCATACTGCGATACTCGCGAAAATAAGCAACCAAGAGATGGCGCTGTTTTTGATCAATTTATAAAAAAAGTCGTAATTTAATAATTTTTAATATTGTGGATGAAAAATGTATTTCATATCCCTCCTTTGCCCTTTGACAACATAGTGCAACTGCAAATCGAAATCTTTAGCGACTTTAGTTTTTTATTAATATTAAAATTTATCAAGTATTTTATTCTCCATTCTCAGCCAAATACCCCTTTTCCCAATTCACACGCGGCGCTACTGATTATTCATTGCCTTTAGAAGTTGAAAACAGATAACGTGTCTTGCTACTCAGCAGAAACACTCATCTGATACCTATTTATTTCTTGTTTCTTTACTTTAGCAATCCGTGCATAACCATATGAAAACAATTTTGCGTTTGACATTCTTTCTGAAGTATATCCGTCTGTCAATCAATTCGTTTTGCTGTTTGTGCATTTTCTTGTAGGTTCTTCGCGCCTCATTTCATAAATTCTTTGGTGTTGTTTGGCCATCGATCAAACCACCAACCCTGCAAACATTGCGGAAAAGCAACGCTCTAACGCTAACTTCAGTCAGTTGATCAGTTGTCCCGGTAAAGTCGTAGATAGGTGGACTTCTTATTTATTTGAAATTTAAAAAATAGCTTCAAAATGACTGAACAGACGTAAGTAGCCAACAATTTCCTTACTCATTTTATTTCTAAACGGTTCCTGTTACATCTCCGTAAAATAATTAGGTACTTGTTAAATTGAGTTTACTTGCGTACTTTTGTTTGAAACGCGGCCATGTTACAAAACTGTTAGAATCGATTCTAGAAGTTTCTGTTTTAGAATGTTTCTTTTGTAAAATTTTTTTGTATTTCCTTGCCGTTATTTCAATAAATTATATTCAGAAATTTTTATTATTTACATTCAAAAAGGAAGGCTGATTATTGATTTTGCTAACATGAGTCCGTTAACCTCACTTTTTCAGATTACCTCCACCCGTTATGTGGGCCCAGAGATCTGCAGTAGTCTTTTTAACGATAAATTTAGAAGACGTTAAAGACCCACAAATTAAGTAAGTATACAGCATATACTTTTGTAAGAGTATAAAATAAAATAAATCGTCTCTTAGATTTAGCAAAGACTCGGTATTCTTCAAAGGAACGGGTGGTGTAGAAAAAAAAGATTATGAAGTCACAATATCATTGTACAAAGAAATAGATCCAGACAAAAGTAAAAGCTTTAATAGGGAAAGGTGTATCGAAATAGTCCTAGCTAAAGCCAACCAGGACGAACCTTATTGGCCCTATCTTACATCAGACAAGAAAAAACATCATTGGTTGAAATGTGATTTTAATAAATGGCACGATGAAGATGATTCTGGCGATGAGGGTCTCGGAGGAATGGGAGGGGGAGATTTTGAGGAAATGATGCGTCAAATGGGAGGACTAGGTAAGTTGTTGATCAAAATTTAATAAGGAATATCTAAATGTGTGCTAGTCGTCATTATCTTCTTTGAAGTTCATATTAACACAAACAATTTTGTTTATTAAATATTTGTTTACCTAAAACTGATAGTACCAATATGAAGATAGTCGGTTAAAAACCACAAAAAATTGTTCGAAATGTTGACTTGAAAACTTTTTTTTATATGTTACTGATTTTTGTATACGAAATGTTTTTTTAGGAGCTGGTGGTGGCAAACCTAATTTTGATGACTTAGATGCCGATGAAGGTGGCGATTCGGATGATGAGCCCATTCCTGACCTAGAATAGTTCTTTTTCTAAAGGAATACTTATACAGTTTTTTTGTAACTTTTTTTTTGTTTACGATTATTGTTAAGTTATTAATAAAGTTTTAGTGGTAATACTAGCTACCTTCCTTTCACTATTAATGACTTTTTTACCAAATATGTCAGTCAATATAGTTGTTTTTAGTTGAAATAACTTGGTAGATTTGTGGAATATGTTAATTGTAAGATATTTTTAATTAAACGTGGAAAAACTGCCAAGAAGTTTCTTATTTTGTATTCAGAATTTTTGAAATATAAATATTCTAGTTCAGTAGTTTATTTTAATATAATAAAATGTTATTTTTTTCTTTAAATATATACAGGGTGTATCATTAACTATTGTACACATCTTGGGGGTACTTACCAATGTCGCATGATAATTGGCTTAATTAAAGATTGCTTCTTTTTATTCTACAGGTTTTATTGTTAAAAAAAATATTCAATTTTTTGTAATATTTTAAATTTGTGCGATTATACCTTGGAAATTTAAGGAATTTTTATACGTGGTTTTTAAGGTGACATTTATGAATAAGCTATCTATTGCAGTCATTTCTAGGGGGCGCTAGTTACAGTCTTGCCGATGTAAATATTTATATCGGAATTTCCTGCAAAGGAATATAAAATTTGAGTACAATTTTAAACAAAAAGGTAAATTTAATCTTTTTCAAATTATACGAAATAATTGGAAACTATGGGCTAAAATTAAACAGCTACAGGGTGTCTCACGGTGAATTATTTCAGAGACTACTTCGATCTGAATTTTGAAAATTTCGATTACCGGGTTTTCGGTCATGCCCTTCTGAACTAAAATAATGGCGTCCACGTATCACTTCCAGTTATACCGGAAGTCGCTATCAACTTGCTTATTTTAAATGGAACACCCTATATATTGGAATTTTGGATTCTACGTGTTATTTTAGGTGGACTTGTGAAGTTTCCCTATTCCTAAAATTAACCGTTTTCGAGATCTAGACCCCTAAGCTTCTCATCCATACTTTCAAAGTGGCTTAATTGCATACAGGGTGCTAAAAATTTAATGCCCAGTTTAGTTAACTTCAAACCTTCATAAGTGTTTTTTTAAATGGAACATCCTGTATGTTTTTCTATTTTCTCACAATTTTATTCTCTTTCGAACAGTATCAGGGTTTTCTACCTATCTCTTCTAGTTTTTAAGTTGTCCACTATTTTTTGTGTAATCACCTAAAATCATGTAATTTCTTGCGAGGGTAGCTGTGGAATTTTTAGCAAAACTTCAAAACAAAGAACTAAGCTGTCAATTTGTTGTTAGTCTCTTGCAGTGACAGTTTAATTTAGTGCTTTTAAGAATGGAAAACAATACATATTCAATTTATTTGTTATGACGCTATACTTTATTTTTACAAATTTTCACAATTACCCCTTTAGTGAACGATAACGCATCTAATTTTTTTACTAGAAAACTATCGGTTTTATTGAAAAATTACAAGAGGTAAAAAAGTTGCGCAATAAATCAGTCTTCCCAATAAATATTTTTAAATAAATAATTTGCATCGTATAAAAAATTTCTAATAAAATATTGCAATGGTGTCGACTGTTTCACTCCTTTATAAAATACGCCAATGATCGAACAAATATTGAAAAGTTCTCTTTATTAGTAGGATGCTCATACCAAGTTTCGTGTCTCTAGCATTCCTCATGTTAAAGAAAAAAATTAAAATGTGAATTTCAATCCCCTCCTTTAAGAGGGTATATCGCCTCAGGGGTGCAACTTTCATATAAGGTATTTTTACTTCAATCCTCTTATTTTTGGCTCTACATTCACTGGTACCATTTTTGCTCCTTCATTTAAAAGCACCCTGTATAGTATAGTTTACATTGCATTTAAATGAAGAAGTACAAATGCTACTGGAGGCCACAATATTATAATTGGGTTAAATATACATACGTTAGGTCATAGTTGCTTCATTTGCATATTACAAGGTGTCGTAAGTTTTTGAAAAACGTGATATCTCAAAAGACATCGAATATAATTCTAAAATTTTATTTCACAATAAATATGTAAAGCAACTTTTTTGTTGCTCCTGCTGTTTTTCCGAAAATTTACACTGTTTATTCTTAATGATTATATTTTTGTATTTAAAAAATTATTTTCAACAAAAAAATGTCTATATTTTCCATTTAATTGAGGAGTAAGTTTAGTTTATACAGGGTGTCTCTAAATTTCACCGACAACGTTTGACTGCATATTTACGACGATAAATAAATACGATCTATGAAAAAAAGTTAAATAAAAAATTTCTGGTTTTTGAATTACAAGCCTCAAAGTTGTTAAAAATTAAACTTATTTAATTAATAACTTCACAACCGTTTTACCGATCGCGTTAAAATTTGGCACATTTATTTGGACTATTAAGGCATATTATTTCCTAATGCTTTAGTTAAATCGATGTACTGGGTGATGGTTTTCTCCGGTTAGCTCTCCCTTTTAGCGGTCAAAACTTTTACAGTGGTTTTATTTTTTAAAACGGGCAGCAACATTGAAAAGGTCGTTTCATTTCAAAAAAATATTGCCTCTTGACAAAATCACCTATAGAAAGCCATTCTTGAGAAAAATTGTATTATTTACAAGTCTGTGCGTTTCAGTTTGCGAAGTCACGGATTTAAAACTTTGAGATCAGTAGGTGATGAAAATAAGATGTTGATTGCTGTGGCTATCAGGTAATGTCATTATTGTTGTGTTTCTTTAGGATTCCTATCAGTCCACACATGCAATTTATGAAAATTTACAACTCTGTTCCTTGTAAAACAAGATTCGAAGGTACAAAACAATTTTTAAAGCAAATTATTATCTTCTGCGAAGGCATTTACCAATCGGTGTCAAAATTGTAAACGTGTGTTGGGATTTAAATTTTCAAGTTCTTGAGCAGAAATTAAATGAAATGGCTGAAAAAGTTGCTTTTCTAATGTTTTATGAACATTAGTTTTACATACATTTAGTTGTCTTGATACAATGCGGACAGTTCATAATCTGCATGTGTGAAGTGATGAGAATCCTAAAGACACACGACAATAATGACATTACCTGATAGCCACAGCAATTAACATCTTGTTTTCATCGCCTGCTGATCACAAAGTTTTAAATCTGCGACAGTGCTACTGAAATTGAAACGCACAGACCTGAAAATGCCAATTTACTCAAGAATGGCTTTCTTTAGGCGATTTTCTTAAGAGACAATATTTGTTTTAAATAAAACACTTTCAATGTTGCTGCCCGTTTAAAAAAAAATACAACCACCGTAAAAATTTTGACCGCTAAAAAGGAGAGGTAACCGGAGAAAACTATTACCCAGTATATTGATTTGACTAAAGCTTTAAGAAATAATACGCCATAATAGTCCAAATAAATGTACCAAATTTTAACATGATCGGTAAACGGGTTATAAAGTTATTAATTAAATTAGTTTTATTTTTGACAACTTTGAAGACCTGTAACTTAAAATCAAAAAAGTTTATATTTAACTTTCTTTCATAGATCGTATTTATTTATCGTCGTGATTATGCAGTCAAACGTTGCCTGTGAAATTTACGGACACCCTGTATATACAGTATAGACTCTTTAATCCGAACTAATTAAAATACGGGCTTAAAGGGATAAGTTCGAATTACCGATATTTTCGGATTACTGGATAGTAAATACGTACATATGTAAATATCTTTATGTGCATACATATAATATGAATTAGATTTTATGTGTTACTGAGAAGGCAAAAAATAACAATAAAACCAAACATTATCGTAAAATATGTCGTATAAATATCGATATGTTTGCATGCCAATAATATTTCAACTAAAGAGATCTAATCGAGAAAAGTTCTGACTTGCATAAAAGGGTTTCCCCGAGACTGCCGGGGAATTACGTTTTTAGCAGTTACTTTTTATTATGTAGTCTGACTTTATAAACCGAACTCTATACGTTAAACCGAATTTTGTTCGAATTAAAGAGTTTTGTTCGGACCATCCAAACGGGCATTCGTCGGGTCGTCAGGCCGGATTAGTGGATATTCGGATTAAGGTGAGGTCGGATTAAAGAGTCTATACTGTATCTGCAAGTTTCTCATTACATCTGTTGAGGCAACAAATGGCATCTGATCATCTGATGCACATACTCGTATGTTTCTCTTTCCAACTCGTTACAACCCTAAAGCATTTCTAATTAAAGTAATGAACTTGTTGGCAAGATTTCACACTATCAAAGTTTCATTTTGATTTTTGTCATGAATTAATAAATTTTCATATTAAACAGTAAAAATCAGCCCTGACTTCATTAATCCATTTGGGCGCAGCTCTCGGTACCGGTTCAGTCAGGACTCTTCAAATGTTCGTAACCATTTCTTACAAGAAGATAAAATGTAAGACATATCTAAGTGAAAAAAGTCTCTTTATAGCACTTGTGTTTTTAACCAAACCGTTCATGAAAAAAAAAATGACTGTTTACAGTTGTATCTTAAAAAAATTAAAAATATTCGATTATCGAAAAAATTAACGAAAATTGCAGTACAAAATCGTTTATAAAATATTTATTTTCGATAATTATAAGCAGAATTATGGTAGGTAAATTATTATTTTTGCAATTCATTTCATTAACAAATAGAAAATAAATAGGAAACATCGTGTTTAAAATACAAATCAGTAGGATAAATTTATAAATGCACTAAAAGACGTTTTTGTCTAATTTAAACTCCCTTGGCTTCCTGTTGTTCAAATTTCGGATACTGTCCTTCCACCTCAGTCCAACTCAATTTGCTGTATGCAAGATTGTGGACAACAGTAGCGATTTCGGACAACTGAAAAAGTCATAATGTTATAGTACAAGGAGCTCAGAACTGCCACTCCCTTAACCCTTTCGCTGCTGTAAATGAATATATTCACAAAGCGGTTAGTTAACATTTTCATATAGGTCATATCATTTATGCAATATGCACTGTATGTGTGTTTCTATGGTTTTCGTGCTTGCTACTAAATGTTCAAAATGTCTGGACATGAATTTTTTAACAGACGAGGAACTTGAGAAGATATTAGCAGAAAACGACAGTGATAAGGAAAATGACAAAGATGATGGAGAAATCACAATGAAGAAAATATGGAACATATTGTGTTTTGTTGCAAATGGAAGAGAGGTACAAAGTGGAAGTGGAGGTGAGGAGGAAACTAATGAAAATGTAAGTGATGATTCCCCTGGATTTTAGGAGGCATATAAATACTTTAAACAGACAGTTCATGAATTTAAGAAACACAAATTTGGGTTTGTAAAGTTGAAGTTAACCCTAGAAATATGTGCCAGAATTATAACCACATATTTAACTCATCATAAGCAACAACTTTCGTCTAATAATAATATTTTTTCAAAAACCTCTTTTTTAAGTTAAGTTTTTAAGATAATATTCTTGAAATTTAAAATTTTTGTTATTCGCCATTACAGCATAAATTGAAACGCTTAGTTGATTAAATAATAAAAAAATGATCAGGAAGGGAGAAAAAGTTCGATGAAAATGCCAAAAAGGCTAACGCAGAAAGTTTCTGTATCATCTGAACATTCAAAATTCGCAAAGCTCAAAATAATATCAGATCCTTCTTGCGAATTATGGGCATATGTATATATGTAAAAACGGACTCTCCAGATCTTGCACTGCCCATTGATCGCTCGAAGTTCCCAGCTCACCTATTCCATATTATGGGCCCAAACCACGTTCGTTTTATATTAATAGGTTCTCCTAAGTCTTATCTTGAAGATAGTTTGGTGCAAACAACATTATTTAGTTTGTTAATAACAATTTACAAATGAAAATTTGACTTCCAGGGTGCAAAAATTAGAGAATTTAAAAAAAATATTTCCACGTCCTTCTGGATCATTTAGAAGATGCTCATCATTAATTGAAAATGATAACGGTTTGAGATTCCGGTCTGAGCAAAGCGGAGAGGCTATCCATCACAATTTTCTGAAGTTCTGGGGTCACTACAAGGTGGCAGATATCCACCATCCTACATATTCAACCAACTTATTAAAGGCTGTCATTGAGTTTTCTTCTCTGCACCTTTAAATAAACATCTAATGTATCTTTCTTTTATTCTAGTAGGTCTAAAGTAAATTTTCAATGACCTAATAGTTACAAAAAATATAGAAAAAAATCCAAAAAAATATTTAAAAATGGAGCCAGTGAACCACTACGTCCCCGTCGTTGGTTCTGGGTTAAGCTAAAAGTGGTGTTTTCAAATTCTCAACAACTGATAATAGTCTTTTATCGCAAAAAGTTACTGGATGCATATAGAGCGTTGAGACCCTCACAACCATTTATCTTTGTAGCCTGATTAGAAAATTTTGAAATTAGAATATTTTGTTTAAACAATTTCAAATTGTTTATTGAACAAGGAAGCAAATTACTGGTTTAAATATTCATATCTGTCTCTCAATTCTATATATATTCATAAGAAACATTTTTTAAAAATTCTCAAATTTTTGCACCCTGTCAAATTTTCATTTGTAAATTGTTATTAACAAATTAAATAATGTTGTTTGCACCAAACTATCTTTAAGATAAGACTTAGGAGAACCTATTAATATAAAACGAACGTGGTTTGGGCCCACGGTCTGTAAAGAGGATTTTACGGACCGTGGTTTGATCCCATAATATGGAATAGGTGAGCTGGGAACTTCGAGCGATCGATGGGCAGTGCAAGATCTGGAGAGTCCATTTTTACATATATACAAATGCCCATAATTCGCAAGAAGGATCTGATAGGATTTTAAGCTTTGCAAATTTTGAATGTCCAGATGATATAGAAACTTTTTGCGTTAGCCGTTTTGGCGGACATTTTCATCGAACTTTTTCTCCCTTCCTGATCACAGTGTGTGGTTACTATTGAAAAATAATAAAATTTGTTATAAACTACTTTCGAAATAAATGAAATAGATCCCTGAGTTTGGAAACCGATATTAAGAAAACATAGGGGAAAAAAATTTGAAATTTGGACCATATATAGCGTCACTATTACTCTATTCTGTGCTAAAATTTCAGTTAATTTCGTTACCTCATTTTTTAATTATTAATGAAAATGTTGAAAAATCACGGTTTTCTGCCTACAAAATTGATACCTCTCACTTTAACTTGTCGTAAATTTTTTGTTAATTGATAAAAAAAATTAATTTTTACTGACGATAAGTTGAACTATTGTCTTTAGCATTTGTCTCAAAAGATCTTTTTTTATTTTTAAGCAAAACAGAAGGGAATGCTATCTCCGTAAATATTGCGTTTAAAAAAAAAAAAACTGACGTAGTAAATAACTGTAAACAACAATCTGAAAAAATTGTATTAACATAATACAGTCATAAATATGATATTCTTAAAAACAGTATTGGAATGGTCAATTATGTTCACGATCCGATGCAGGGTATACAGTATAACGTTTATAACTGTATTATTTTAATAAATTTTTTCAGATTGTTATTTACAATTATTTACTATTTTGAGTAATTTTTTTCCTTTTTTTAAAGTATGCAATATTTACGGAAATAGCACTCCCTTCTGTTTTGCTTAAAAATAAAAAAAAGAAGAGCTTTTGAGACAAATGACCTTCACAGTACTAAAGACTTATCGTCAGTAAAAATTTGATATTTTTTTATCAATTAACAAAAAAATTACGACGAGTTAAAGTGAGGTATCAATTTTGTGGGCAGAAAAGCATTTTCTTTAATAATTAAAAAATGGGATAACGAAACTAACTGAAATTTTAGCACACAATAGAGTAATAGTGAGGCTATATATGGTCCAAATTTCAAATTTTTTCTGCCCCTATGTTTTCTTAATATCGGTTTCCAAACTCAGGGATCTATTTCATTTGTTTCGATAGCAGTTCAGCAAAAAACGTTTAAATATAAAATATGATAAATATCCTACTCGCCAAAAACAAAAACTAAACTAAAACAAACCAAAAGTTCATATTGGATAGGTCACACTTATTTTACTAAATTAAATTACAACAAATGTCAAAATATCTTCAATTATTGTGTTATACACAACATTAAAGTTTTTTTTACTCTGTTATAATTTCCAGATTGTTGTGATTATTCTGGAGGCATTTTTATGTGTTCCCATAGTTCCTCAACCGAATTAACTGGAGTGGAATACACCAGTTGTTTCAAATGATCCCATAAATAAGTCACACAGATTGAAATCTGGCTATCGGGCAGACTATGCCATTGGATTATTCCGACCAAATCACTACCCAGGAAAGTACTGACTCGACCAATTCTTTAATTAAATTAAATTTGTTATAAATCTTTTTTCTATTTTTATATAATAAAACAGCCCTTAAAGCTTCCGGTACCACTTATTTCTTTATCAAAATGAAATAAATGCAAGATAGTACGAAATTAGGTTACAAAAATAACTGCGTATGAAAACATTTGTGAATGGTCTAACATCTCACACTGGAGATACCGTCACCGTCGCACATGCGTATGCTGCAGCGAAAGGGTTACACAACATGTTTTTTTACTTACCGGAATCCTAACTTGCCCCATAGAATCCCTTTCTCTCAGCGTAACACTGTGGGGCTCCTTCAATGTATCAAAATCAATCGTAATACCGTACGGTATCGCGATTTCATCAGTTCTGGCGTATCTCCTACCTATCGATCCAGAACTGTCATCGATTTTATGCGAAACGTCAACCTTAGTTAATTCCGAAGCTAAAAATAAATGTTAAAACCCCTAAAATTATTATCGGTTACAATATTCGGACTTACATATTTGTTTTATGAATGGTGCGAATTCTACATTGGAACTCAACGGAAGGACGCTGCATTTTAATGGCGCTACGATAGCGGGCAACGAGAGGTATGTTCTTTGTTCGTCGTTCTCGCGTTGCTTGAAGTTGTGCTCGAAAATGGCGTACATTACTCTACCAACACCTGTAATTAACAAATTTTTATTAAAAAATTAAAAATTCATGATTAAAATTTGAGGCATACTAAATATAAAAATAAATAAAAAATAATTACCAAACGATGGTTCTATAACACTTGGTATAATTTCTTCTACATGTAGAGTTTTTTGGTAACGTTTCACCGCCACCATATCCTTGGTCAAAGTGAATTTTTGATCTCCAATGGTTAAGTCGTATGATCTAAAAATATTGTAATTTATGGTAAAAGCCATCAATATAACAAGTAAAAAATTATTTTTGCAGTGAGAACTGCAAAAATAATTTTTTTTTCTAAAAACGAACCATGCCCTCTAAAACTACCACTCTTACCCTTCAAAACGCTTTTTTCAGATTTGAAAAATCAACCTGTCTGGGGTGTAGTACTGGCAGGTTATTGTGCACTTGGGTTAACCTGTCTGGGGTTTAGCGCTTGCAGGTTATTGTATATTTAGATTAACCTGTCGTGGGCAGGTAGTGGTTAATGTGGTATCGATTATTGTGCCCTTAGGTTAACCTGTTGTGGGTGTAGTGTTTGCAGCTAATGCTTCTATGTTAAATGGCTTCGTGTTACAGTTATACTAGTTAATACCGATAGTTCAGCCTAAAATCGTTAATTTTGCAGTTTTAGGTTAGGAAATCTCAGAATACTAAAGTGATAATATCTCTGCGAATAAAAAAGACTTTTCAAATCTGAAAAAGCATTTTGAAGAGTAAAAGTGGTAGTTTTAGAGGGCATGATTCGTTTTTAGAAAAAAAAAATCGCTCTGTGATATAAGCTCAAATATAGCGAAAAAACGTGTTTTTTGCACTTTTAGGTCAGGATATATCGGAAATGTGACGTATAAGAGCAATTCTGATGCCGGATTCGAATTCAGCATACCAAAAAACTTCAGGCAAGTGAGGTCTGGTTTTTGGGTGTGAAAATTGTTGGCCTGTGTTATTTTTGTCAGGTTTAGGCAATGGTTTAAAGACCTTAGTGATTTTTTCTTATTTTGCAGCTAATTAAAGACATTTTAATTCTTCGGATGATTATTCAGCTGTAGTATTATGAATTTGCCTCTTAAAAACAATTTCTTTCGATTTTTATGAAGAAATCACAAAGATTATTTGCCATCCGTAAAATTTCACTAATTATTTTTTAAATTTAATGTCACATTTTCAGCGCTCGTTGAAGCTTACTATTCAACGGAATGGGGATTTAACATTTCCTCCAAGTCAGTTTCAGTCAAATCTTCATCGTGCGATTCAAGCAACTCCTGAATATCACTTAATTCTATCTGCTCAAAGCCGTCCCGTCCTATTCCTATCAACATGCACAATATTTGCAATTAACATCTGAATTTGCACATGGCATTTTTCCTCGTACGAACAAATTTTCTTTTTAAATTACCTTTATTCGACATTATAAATTCCGAAAAAAGCTGAAGACATATTATTCCATTAAAGTTATTGCGGCGAATGAAAAATGGAACCAATGAAACAAAATACTCGGCACCAATTGTGGCGCAGGCGGCCATAATCGCACGTATAAGCGAACGGCGTCAGCAGCAGCTTTTGCCATATTACTTTCAGCTTTACAATACTAGGATTTATTTATTTATAAATATTTTCATACCTACTTGTTTATTTTTACAAATACGCATTATTCTAAAAATACAATATATATTGTTAGTTTCGGATCCGCGAATACAGAATTTTTCACCCGTGAATACGGGAAGTGTTAACAATTTTTTGGTCTGTGAATACGGGAACCGCGAATAAGGAGCTTCGACTGTATTTGAAATTTGTCAAAAATTTATTTTTTGCAATTCGACTGCTTTGAGGTACAATTAAAGCTATCACCGATGACTACCATGTATTGATAGATAAAAAGAAGGTAAACATGCATGCCATTCTTAATATTATAAAAATTATCTATATGAAATTAACGAAGTGCCAGAGAGCAAAACTACAATGGAAAATAGTTTTGTAAAAACTGCTTTTGTATGACTAACGAATTATTCTAAAGTTGACGTATTTTCTAGACGTCAATATAATAAAAAATAATGAAAAATAGTTACTAATCTGATACATTTGAAATATTTTTTAAAATCATGTAAAGTTCTTAATAAAAAGTATATTTTACTATTTTTTAAAGCACTGTGTTTAGTTCGTATACCTTAGAGTCAATGACCTCTGACATTGATCTAGTTTAGATGAACTACATATCACTCCACATGATTGTGATATTACAACAGGGCAGAAAAATGGCCAGTTAGTTCAGTGCAAGAGCATTGTTGAATATGTCAGCACTTCATTTTAATGTTTCGTTTATCAGTTTATGAGGTTTTTCTAATATGGTAGGTAATTTCTGCATGAATTATTAGTTTTTACTAGAATTGGATAGAATTTGTATAGTGCAGTGTTGTATTTCGCTAAGACTAATTATACAGGGTATAGCAAAAGTACCGGAACGACAGAATAACTCGGCGGGAGAGCATTTTAGAGAAAAATTTTTAAATAGAAATGTCTCAGGATTTCTCCCTGGCTATCCGTTGGTGACCTTGACTTTGAAGATCATTTCAAGGTCAAATGTGATTTTTCAAATGGGACCCTATATTTTGACCCCAGAAATGAAAAGAGCGAAAAATTTTACGTTCAGATAAGATCTCGAGTGACCCCTCCCTTTTGATTTTGGGGACCCCACAAGGTCAAACTAACAAAAGTACAGAAATGGCAGAATAACTTGGCAGGAGAGCATTTTAGAGAAAAATGTTGATCTTGAAATGGTCGTCAAGGTCAAGGTCACCATCGGATAGCCAGGGAGAAATCCTGAAACTTTTGTATTCAACAATTTTCTCTAAAATGCTCTCCCGCCGAGTTATTCTGCCATTCCTGTACTTTTGTTAGTTTGACGTTGTGGGGGTCCCAAGGTCAAAAAGGAGGGGTCACTCAAGGTCATATCTGACATAAAATTTCCCGCTCTTTTCATTTCTGGGGTCAAAAGTATAGGGCCCCATTTGAAAAATCACATTTGACCTTGAAATGATCTTCAAGATCCAGGTCAAGGTCAATGTCAAGGTCACCTTCGGATAGCCAGGGAGAAATCCTGAAACGTTTGTATTTAACATTTTTCTCTAAAATGCTCTCCCACCAAGATATTCTGCCGTTATGCTACTTTTGCTATACTCTGTATAGTACAATATAAAGCAGATTTTGTGTAGGGTAAGTGTACAATTTTAAAAAGTTGTTTATTTCAGTGTTTAGTGAGAACGAGAAGTTATAGATAAATATTGTACACGCCACAATAAGCACTCTCTTTATCAAAACAGATTTTAAAAAAAAGGTATCTGCCAAAAATCAACAGAAAATTAAATACACCTTATTTTGCATGAGTGAATTAAGATACAGTTTTTGCCACTTAATTTTTCTCAAACTTGTCTGTAAATATCTAGTTTTTGTCTATCTCCTCGGAAAAAACAAAAAACCCAAAATGCCCAAAATAAAATGTCTTACTCCCTACTAAATAATTACCCATCAGAATTTAACTTTCTCTCCAATCCTTCCACATCACTAACTTGCAGGTTAGTCAAAGCGTCGGTAATAGTTTTAGCATCCTTTTTAAACGTCTTCCCCAGCGGTCCCTTATTCGGGGCAGCTTCCACGACATCCACTACCTTCGGCTCGGCTAATTTCTTCTCTGCCGCTAACCTGACCCCAGTGGCCTGAGTGTGCTGGGTCAAATCAAAAGCGGACCTGTCCGCACATCCCACACATTCAATCCATCCCTATGAAATTCCCTCTTTAAAGAACGAAAAATGAAAAAAATGATAAACTCATACATAACTTGTCAAACACTCGGCATCCCAACAATCACAGGCGTAATGGGCCATCTCGTTGGACATGTGCTGTCTGAAACGTAACTTGACGGGGTCCACGCCGCATCTTATTAAGAACTTTTGAATGCGGGCCATGAAATACCCCAAAGCTTCGTTGGCAACAAGACCCTAGACAGGAATACATTAAATATTTATTTATTAATGTCCTACTAGACTGTTTATGTGTAATAATGACGTTACTTTGAGATGCAATATCTATAATGCCCTAGAGCAAATTAAAAATGCACTTTCATGGAATTAAATCAGTTCAATAATAAAAATTACAAGCAACAATAATGTCGATACAGGTTAAATGAAAAACAAATATCATATCAGCAAAATTTTCGAATTAAATAAAATACTAGTAGAACATCAAATGTTGAAGATATCAAGGGTGTTATAGGATAATAACGTCCTCCATCGACGAAGTTTGATCCTGTCATATTATTATTTATGTAACACCTTAGGTAGTATAAAATCTTTTTTATGCACAAAATGTGACAAAACACAAGACATTCAAAAAATTGTTACATTAGATGTTACTTTTAAATGAGTTTCTTAAGAAATTTTCCTGTACTTGTTGCAGTCTTAATTCATGTTGGTCAAAATGAAGACTAAATAGAGGAAATCTTAGATGAGAGTGTACCAAAAGAATGTAAAGAAAGTTAATTTTTATAAAAATCAGGAGCATCAGTGAAAACAGAGAATAATTTCAAATGGTCTGTAAACAATACAAAACTGTGAGAAGAGCCTTATTTTGTGAATATCATTTAGAAATATATGAACAAACAGTGGCCCCAAATAAGAGCCTTGGGGCACACTTGACAATTTTGTAATTTTGTTGAATATGTAATCACTGAATCTAACCGTCTGATGTCTCCTTGAAAGATAACGTCTCAACCTAGAAGAGGACCACATATGAAGTTTATAGATTAAAATATTATGATTTCCTTCATCAAAGGCTTTGGAAAAATCAGTATAATTCACATGTAGAATCAATTTGTAATTCAGCATCCAAAGCATTACTTCAAATATGAATTTAATAATTCTCACCTTGTCCACAGCATCCCCGATTTTAGTTTTTTGTGCCGGGTTTCCATCCATTTGATTACAAGCCGAATAAAGCAACAGTTCAGTATCCCGAACGTTTGCAAATTTGGGATGACTTTTGTCGTTGGGATCACAGAAATGTTCAATTTCTGCCATTGTGAACTCTCGAACTCGTATGAGACCAGATCTTGGCGAGATTTCATTCCTGAACGCATTACCTGAAATGGGTACAAAATCAATTGACGCAAAAAGGTAATATAATAGATTACGCACCAATTTGTGCAGCTGCAAAAGGAAGCCTGCCCTGGTTGAACTCAAGTAGTCGCTTGAAGTTTACAAAAATACCTTGGGCTGTTTCAGGCCTTAAAAATCTGAAAAAAGTGGATTTAACCAGTTGTTTGTTATTACTAACTTAAAAATGTTACCCCTTAATTAATCCAGAGGGTCCAATTTGGGTTCCAAACATTAAATTGAACTCAATAGGCTCAGTAAGCTCATTACCAGTTAATGGACTCTTCATATTAAATTTCTGCATTATAGCAGCCATTTCATCTTTGGTCATTCCATCTAACTAAAGATAAAATAAAAACGTACTAGGTATAAGCCGTATTTTCATTCCCAAGTTTAAGATAAATACTCAAACAAGATTACAGAATATATAAAATATTAACACTACAAACCTTGATAATGATGTCCTCACATTCATTTTTTGTTGGTTGTGATGTTTTTTTATCAGATGCAATTTTCTCTAAATGTGCCTTAATCAAGTGATCTAACCTAAAACATTCACCAGTCTGCGTATCTTTCACCATAAGATCGGCAAACCTATCCACATGACCTGAGGCCCTAGAATTAGAACACTATTATTCCCTAGGAAATTTTTAACTTCGTATCTTAACATACTTTAATACTGGTTCCGGGGTAAGAATGGAACAGTCAACTTCGAGCATCTGCTCCTCTAAAACAAAGAACTGTCGCCAAGTGTGTAACAAGTTGGCTTTGAAGGCACATCCCATAGGGCCAAAATCAAATTGGCCTGTAATTCCTCCATAAATTGCAAAGCTTTGGTCAAAAAAGAATCGTCTTTTGAGCAAGTCTTCCATTTTCGCTCTATCGAAAGTCGTTGCAGGGGCCAGACTGAGCTCCTTGTCTTCTAAAATCTTTTTCCTGTGTTTCAACTCTGCTACAGCTTTTTTAACATCTAGATCTGGTGCTCCTTCAGATTTTAACTTCCTAACTATCTCTCCCTAAAGATTTCAGAATTAACATATTGATAGTGGGCTCTAACCTAAAACAATTAAAAGTACCTGTTCCTTAACACTCGCCCTCAATGGGGCCAAAATTTTTTCATCATCTGGATTAGCCATTGCGTCGAAATAAATATTTAGTTTTATGTTTCTGTGTTTCTTATTTTTTCCCCAATTCTGGTCAACAGACGAGCTGATGTAAAAATTCCTTGCACTCGCGAGTCTTCCTAGGCACTTAATTTTAAAATTTTCGTTTATTAGGTGATGAAATCTACTGAGCTGGCGCAATGTTGGAAACAGTTTCATGAAGTTTCAATGAGTAATTATTTGCCACGATGCAGAAATAGCAATTCGCCGCAAAGTGAAAGGAATTATTAGAGAAGATCCATACGTAAATTCCATGCACATGTACTTACTTAGCTCTTTAACATTTTTTATGTTGGCTTGGCTGCACAACTACAACTACTTGTATTATGTTTTGTTACTATACTGTCTACATGTCACAGATAGTGTATTACTGGTTGTCTTCGCAGAATAAAAAAAATTACAATAGGAAATATCAACAGGGTTCTTTTTTCTCGTATAAATTTAAAATAATACAATGTAACTAATTAAATACACAAACAATACAAACGTTTTTATTTTTATATTTTTCCCACAATAAAAAAATATGTAAATTTAAATTTAACAGATAATTGAAAATATTTCTTTGTAAATAAATTTATGAGTTCAGTTTTATTATTTAATTACTATAATTGAAATAAATCATAACATAAATTAAACATTTTTTCTAATCTACTTATCCCCGAGATAAATATATAAACAAAACGAAATTAAATTTAATAGAAATATAGTTCTTTTCTATAGTACTCAACATAATTATAACATAAACACACCCTACAGAACTAAATTTTGATTAGACGAGAAACACTAGAACAACATAAAACCCAAAAATGAAACGATACCTGATTATTTTCATTTGGATAAGAAATCATGTGATTGAAAGGCGTTAGATCTATACTACTACTCAATTCAAATACAGGTGAGTATCTGTAATAAATAGATAAAATAAATAACAGTAACCCCAAAGCAATCTTTAATCCATGGGTTAGTCCAATATGTAATATTATAGAATTTTTTTCTGTTCGCAACTTAGTCAGATCTTGATCGATTGCATTAATTTTTCTTTGAATTTTAGAAAACTTAGCAAAACTGTCTATCATACTAAATTTGCTCTGTTCTGATTTAAGGTTATTTTTTTGAGTGATGAGATTCTTTTCTTTTAACGACGGTTTATTCATCCACTTCAATACCTACAAAATAAATATTTATTTCAGTTAATGCAAAACATATTAAACGTATTTGTGCATGACTGTTGCTTTCTCTTACCTGCTTTCCTATAATTGATGAATGGACATTTAACACACTTAAGACGGTTGACAAAATTAAAGCAGACATTTTATAAACATATTTCAATATTTTATATACAAAATAAAAACAATATTTCTTTAAATTTCGTCATTTATTTAAGGTTATGTTAGATTTAATATAACGTGATATTTCTGAATTTCTAAAATCAAAATAGTAATAGTCGTGCTGTCAGCGTGACAGCGTATGGATGCTGCCATCTATGTCAAGGTAGCTAAAATTTTGTAACTTTAACGACTATCGCTAGATAGCAGCACACATATTACAAAGTCGGCTACTTGATCTAAGTGATTCTGAACGCACCAAAAATCTGTGATAATCGTTTGGTAAATAATACAAACAAATATACAATGTACAAATATACATACTGGTAATAATAAATAAAACAATTTTTTCTATGTTATCTAACGTTTTACTAATAAGAAATTATATTACATTATTTTTTCTAAGCAATTTTAACCTTGTAAAATTTTAATTTGTGCTCTCCTTTTTTTCTAAAAATAAATTAATAATGTCGGTATTTTATTATTTTAAATACCTGTATTTGATATAAAAAATTATAGTTTGAAAATAAACATTTAGAGGATATTTACATATCTGTACTTTAGTTAGAGGTAAAAGTATAACCCACCCAAATAATTTTTAATTTTATGTATGTATGTAGGGACACAATAACACAAAAAATATATTTTGAAAGCTTAATTGACTTTTAAAATGTAGAAATATATTTTTAAATATAGGAATAATTCTGCGAAATATTCGATATTCATTGTTCAGTGGCATCGATTATTGTCTTTGTCTGCCTTGTTAAAACTCAAATTTCAGATACTCCTCAATGATTGATTTTACATTGACTGGTGTTGTAAAAAGTTTATAAGCTATCAGTAGACAATTTAACGGGACTTGCATATCCGTTTTGTTGTCAGTGAAACACATCCCCTAGCAACAATTCAGTACTCACATCAATAAATAATTATTTAACTGTTTTTATAAACTTTACCACTAGTTAGATTCCGATATCTTGGAAATAGTGGTCGCGGTTATTATTTATTCTGTTATTAATAGAGATCAACCCACCGATTATTTCCTTCAGCAGTCCTGCAAAGATAAAGGTAAATTAGTTTAAACAACTTTTATGTCCAATACATCATCACAATTAATATCATTTTTTAATTCACATGTTTTGGTATTACTGCTATTTGTAGTATGAGCACATTTTGAACAAGATTGGCCAATTAAAATACTGCAATAATGAAGGAGACCTACTCCAATTTCATAAAAAAAATAGATGTATTTTGAGTACAAACGGGAAATACAACTTAAAAGTCGGACATTTGCTGACTTCTGCATTTTTTTTTTTCTGTATTTGAATAACAATTCTTACTAATTGTTATGACAGTTATTCAATTTCAATTTTGCAACGAATATCATTAGAAATGATGTGGACAATAGGTTTATTTGCAAGAACTGAAAATGAGGAAGAATTTAACATTCATTACTCATTTATTAGGTATATATTGGGCAAAACAATTTTGAAGTAAATATACAATAAAAAATACAAAATATACATCACAGGGTGTCCCACCAGGAATCGGCAGTATCGAAAGTACTGATGTGATAAATCTGAAATGTTGGCAACCTAGCAAAGGCAGTAGTCAACACCACAGCTAAAATATTTAGAGTTTATGGCACTTCCGGTTATATCGGAAGTCGACATTATAACTTTCTTATTTTAAATGAGAAACCTTATATATTATTGCATTTTCGGAATCTACGTGAAATTTGAGGGACACTTTGTTCCCTATAAGTACCTAGGAGTTATAGATTTGGATATACTAATTTTTAAAGAAAAAATTTGACAGATGCAAGGGTTTGCAGAGGTGTGTAACTCTTTTCTGGCGCGTGACATCAAGGGGATTTTTGGTATCTATAAACGGCATAGGTAACACTAAATTAGGGTAGGTATACCAACAAATTAAAACATATCAAAATCTATAGCTCCTAGGTATAGGGAATGCAATAATATATAGGATGTCCCATTTAAAATAAGAAAGTTAATGTCGACCGGCATAACTGGTATAACCGGAAGGGCCATAAAGTTCTAAATAGCTGTGTTGGGTCTACTGGTTTTGCTACGTTGCCAAATTTTCAGATTTATCGGATAAGTACCTTTCCGAGATATCGACAGTGGCGATTCCTGATGGGACACTCTGTATATCGCACACTTCGATATGTCTTGATGTTTAAAAAATCTTTCGTTTTCGATACTCAGACGATACTATGACGTTATGTTTTAAAATTATTTTTGATGCTTTTAATTTGTTTTGTAATGACAATGAATTTTATTATTTTTTTTTAATAGAAAACGCAGCACCTATATTATTTTGGTTATATCCTTTACTATTACAGGAAGGCTCAACAAATCTTATTTTACTGTGTTAATAAGAAAATATTTGATATACATATAGAGCATTCCAATTTAAAAAATTAAGTTTTTAGTTTTATCCGAAAAATGGTAAAGATGCAATAGTTTTCATAATATCTTTTTACTTCTTAATATCAAATATTTGTCATCAATCAGACAATCCTTATGACAGTTACAACGGATGCGCTTAAAGCAACACCTTGTATATTTAATGCAGGTTGATTTTTATGAATTCTCTTTCCAAAATGTTATCTAAATTTGGTTTATATTTGTCATTAATCAAAGAATTTCATTTACTTGAAGAAAGACATTAATTATAACATTTTTAAGGAATTTATTATTCCTTAAAAATCTAATGGATAAAACAAAAATTGATATACGAGTATGTATTATTTGGAAAAACAACCAAACGTTTGTAAAGGTATCAGATTGTAATAATTATCACTATACAGGGTGATTCACAAATGGTGACCAAAAATGAAACTTCGTATTATTTGGTGAATTTTAAGGGGTCTTTCCTATAAAATTTTTATCTAGGACACTTCGTTAAAAAGATACAGGGTGTTAAATATTTTAATTTTTTTTAAATAATTTAAAAACTAGTAACTGAGTAATTTGAAATTGGACACATGTATTTATGTAAAATGTCCAAAATCTGAGGCCTTTCCTAAAATTTACATGTTCCAGTGGCGGAGATACAGGGTATCGGTGGCATATTTTTCTAAATAAAATAGTACGCGTCTTTCAATTTTCTACAAATTACTACTCTCTTATGTTTTTCGAAAAAAGCCTGATTTTCGAGTAAAACTTAAAATCGTTTTGATATCTCAAAAGCCGCGAAAGATAGTGCAAATTTTTTTACGTCATATCAATGAGTCTCTTGGCTTTATTAATCGAATTTGGCTGCCATTTATATAGAACAATTTAATTACAATTTCCGTTAATAAATCATGGGGTTCATTAACACCGTTCCACCCCCCTTTTCTTCTCCCAAAGGTTGTTACGTGTACCTTCCAAATTAAATGAAATTAAAACACTTACTTTTCGCATTATTAATTACTTTTTTGTCTGATGCGTGTTGGTTCGATATAATTTCTTTGTATTCCCATGTGATGTGGTTCACACACCCCTGTACAACAAACGAAAATCCATACCTATGTATGGCCGGAATTTTCACACTCCAGTGCTAAAAGCTTCCCGATAGTATTCGTCGAGTTTTACCAGGAAATAGCCCATCAAAGGACCATGCGGAGAAGGTGCGTGGAGTTTGTTTTGTTATATTGTGTGTGTTTGCGTGGGAGTGTACTGATTATTAATTTATTAAAAGGGGTTCCGAGGCTTTACCCTATTTGCCCCTTCCTTCATATAATAAACAAAGTACGCTTCTGTTGAAGTAAATTTCTGTTGGGTTAAATGGAATTTTGTTTTGAAGTGGCTATATATTGTTTTTCTGCTTTGATTTATTCTATTATGTAGATTTAACATTCAAATCTGTTGGGAAAGATACGTTTGCAAGGTTTTATTTTAAATGAATTCAAATAATTCAATAGAGACAAATCGGGTAAAAGTGTTGGCTACCTTCGTACATCCAGTGCTCAAGTATATATTAAGTGATACAAAATCTTATACATACATCAGAAACTGTTTTCTGAAGTTGCTTATTTGTGACACAGTTTCAATTTTTTTCTACTTATTTTTTGTCACATGTAAAATAAAATAAATAAATAAATAAAAAATTATGGACAAATTTCGTGTCAAAAAGATCAATAAAAGGTTATTTTAAAATACTGTTTACCTAATTAAAAATCTCTTTCGGGAAAAAGCAGACAACTCAAAAATACGCATCTACAGTGTGTCCCGTCTTTCAGGTTAACACCTCTGGAAATGTGAGAAGGCTGTGGACTTTCCGCAAGCCAATTTTTTTTCACAAATAGTACCCTGAAAGGAGGTTATATTCTACTAATCATTTTATTGATGTCGCAAAAGCCTGGCCTACTACGATTTTTTTAAAGGGTCGTTTTTCCAGAAAGTAGTATTAGGCATTTTTTTTATTAAAAAGATAATATTACCAGGCTATTCAACACCCATTAAAATACCCATATCCCAAATTTGAAAGACAAATGTCTATTAAGTGTTTTTTTATGTGATGTCAAACTTTGAAAAATCAGGCTGCTAAAAATTATAATAAGCAGGTCAAAGATTGCCGTGAAAGTTAACACAAATACCAATCGGACAAAGAAAGAATACTTGCACTATATATTTAATACTTTTAATTACATATATTAATTAATTATTATTAATTATAAAAATAATAACTTACAAAAAATGTAACGAATTAAAAATACTAAGTTCTTAAACAAAAAAATTGCAAAACGTTAATCTAAATTAAGTTTTAGTTTTCTTTACCAAACCTCCTTCCAGTCGAACACATTTTTCCAGTCCTCTCCTTTTTAAAAATAATTTACATAGCCGTCGTGGAGTAATCTCTGCACAAGCTTGTCTTATGCAATTTATTAGGTCATCCAAATTCCTTGGTCTGTTTTTATAAATTTTTAGATTGTTTTGCAATTTTTTATTCAACGACTTAATATTTAAAATTCATTACCTACATTTTTTGTACGTTAGTTATTTTTATTATGGCTGCAATTTAAAGTGTTAAATTTATAGTGTCCTTATTTT